GAGCCGTGAGAGCCAAGGACACATCTGCAGGTGTTGGCCAAAACCAGAGACTCTTTCTCATAACAATACAATGACACTCAATTGGATGATGTGAGCTGGAGTAATAGGAGGGAGCGGGAACTAAGTTGTAACTATGTGGGTTTGCATGGGAATGAACTAGAGCTGGTTTTGTCTTCAATAGTGCCCAAATGATGTACTGCATAGAGACGTTGGCAGAGCTCGAATGCACTGCTTTAGTTGGGATCGTCAGTTGGGATGTTGACAGAAAGTTTTTGAGCAGTGTTATGAGTGAGTGGATAGACAGTCACATTCATATGTGTAATCTAAAGAATGACAACATAGGAATTCAAAGTTAAGTTGGAAGACTGTCTCTGTGGTCAGGGAATATCAGAGTTTAATTGGTTAGACCTTCTATTGAAGGTCTATAACAAGCAACCTTGTTATACCTACAGAGAAATTAATAAGGAATTCTCCAATTATCTTTCTTGAAAAAGAATGACTTCCTGATACTGGTCTGTGTCCCTAGTGATCTTTCAAGCATACTATTTCTGAAATTAGCAGCATATTTTGAAGCCTGGTAAATTTCTGCCCAAATATATACTAATAAACAGCCACTGATTCAATAATCCTTCATAGCAATCGCAATCACTCCTGCACTTGTGACCTTTAGAGTTAATGTAGCATATAATTAATAAATCCACAAACTCTATGTTCTTTTAATACACAGTATTAACCTGAAAAAAGCCACTCCATTTTCATTTTGTTTTAGTCATATTGATTTCTAAAGGATTAGTCAATTTATTAGTTTATTTAAAAGGATTTTAAAAACACACATTAAATATATATAGAAATAAATAATAAGAAATATTTGGGCAAAGGTTGACATTTTAATTTAAAAGCAATGCTAGAATTATTTCTTTCTGCAACAAGAGAGAGAAATAAGGTCATTTTCATATGCAGGAATGTCTCTTGAAGAAATATTCTGAGCTTGGAATAATTTATCTGAGAAAGAGACCTCCTGCTTACCCCATCTTCTCTCCTCATGCTTGACTTGGGTAATATGTAGGCATGTCTGAGCATGCATCAGTGCAAAATGGGATTCTGTCAGCTTAGCAACATTTTCACTGAAAGGCTCGGAAGCTAATGAAATCTGGGGTCACATTAGTGCAATCAGTTCTAAATGCACTGTCTAAACCCATGTATCCTGTTCTGCCTTTATCACTTGGCATAATTTAGGGACCCCTAATGAGCGTACTCTGCTGATAAAAACACCTTGGAAATAACTGAAAGCAGTAGTGCACTTGTGAGTTTCACCATGTTCAGTTTCATGCCTCTGAATGTTGAATTCACACAAGCCTATCAAAGGATTTGAGCGACACCAAACTATGAATTTAGGTCAGATTGGGAGTCAATTTGGACCCAGTTTGTGGGGGCAATAAGCTGACTTTGTATAAATATACAAAGGTATGAAGGCTATTGCTTAATGCATTGTAAGCCGCCCTGAGTCTCCGGAGAAGGGCGGCATATAAATCAAATTTTAAAACGTTTTCACTGAAAGGCTCGGAAGCTAATGAAATCTGGGGTCACGTTAGTGCAATCAGTTCTATATGCACTGTCTAAACCCATGTATCCTGTTCTGCCTTTATCACTTGGCATAATTTAGGAACCCCTAATGAGCGTACTCTGCTGATAAAAACACCTTGGAAATAACTGAAAGCAGTAGTGCACTTGTGAGTTTCACCATGTTCAGTTTCATGCCACCTAAATTTTCACCCACTTTGGGGGGGGGAAGGTGCATCTTATACTTCAAAAAATATGGCACTTCTATTACTGCAGCCAAAAATTGTATTTCACTTCTTAAGCAGCCATTTCATTCTACCGAATTACATTCTGCTCAATTACAGTTTCAAGATCCTTTTCACATGTATCCTCTTCATCGTGTCCGTTTGTTCACTTTTCCCTCACTGAAAAGCTTGTCACTTGTTTTTTTCTATTCAATTTCATTTTATTATTTTCAACTGCCTGCTCTAACCTCTCAGATCACAGCTATCACCTTCAGCTGTGTCATTTGCAAATTTGAAAAGATCAGTGTTCCTTCTATTTCTTCACCTAATCATAAGGAAAAGGTTGACTGGTCATGCCTGAGAACTGTGGCATCCTACTGAACACTCAGTCCTGTTTGATGAGGGACATCTGATTGCCATTCCTTGGGGAAAAAAAATGCCAGTCAGCCCATATTTAATTATCTTACTGATTCCAATGTCTTGGTGGTATCTGGTCAAATGTTTTACTAAAGTTGACATTAATTATATATCCCCAGTATTGAAAAGGTTTTTCTCAGGAAAAACTCTAGACAAATATAACCTAAGATTAATCTGGCAAGACTATGCAGTATGTGAGAAATCACGAAATTATTTTCAAGGTGATTATAGACAAATAGTTTTGTGTGCTGCTTTTTTCCCCGAGGTATTGTTGGCAGACTGCAGTTTTCTGGGTTCTCTTTCCCACCTCTTTTTTTGAAAACAGATACCAAATTTGCTTTCCTGCAGACAATTGTTTGTAATTTTAAAAGTTCAGAATCCTAGGATGCAATCTATCTGGTCTTGGAAAGTGGAATTGATTAAAACTCCTTCCACCTGCTCTTCAAAGTTTCTTGAAGCTCAGATTTTGCGTCTCAAGATGCAAAAAATCAAAGATAGTATATGAAAAAGAAGAGACCAATGCTATCATTTATTCTCATCTATAATAACAGAGTAACAGAGTTGAAAAGGTCTTTGAAGGTCTTCTACTCCAACCCGCCCACCCCCAACTCAAGCAGGAGACACTATACAATTCCGTCTCTATACAATTCCGACACTATACAATTCCATCTCAACTACTGCAACGCTCTCTAGGGCTGCCCATGAAAACCACTCGAAGGCTTCAATTGATGCAGAATGCAGCCGCGTGGGTTGCAATGTTACACCCCTCCTGCGTGGCCTCCATTGGCTACCGGTTGCCCTTTGGGTGAGGTTCAAGGTGCTGGTTATCACCTATAAAGCCCTTCATGGCTTAGGTCCAGGATATTTGTCGGACTCCCTGCAGCCAGCAACAATTTCCAATCATCCGGTGCGTTCCCACAGACAGGGCCTCCCCAGGGTGCCGTCGGCCAGACAATGTCAGCTGGCGATCCCCAGGGGGAGAGCTTTCTCTGTGGGTGCACCCACCCTTTGGAACCAACTTCCTTTGGAGCTCCGGATGGCCCCTGACCTTCGCTCATTTCGCCGTGATTTGAAGACCTGGTTATTTCGTAGCCTAGACTGATGAAGGGGGTTTTTCTTAATAGTTTTTAAACTGATTTTAAATTGTTTTAATTCAGACTTTTTAATTTTATTGTATTAATGTTATTGTGTATTTTACTGTTGTGAGCCGCCCTGAGTCCATTGGAGATAGGGCAGCATATAAATCGCATTAAACTTAAACGTAAACAATTCCGGACAAATGGCTGTCCAATCTCTTTTTAAGAAAAGATTGGAGAGTCATAGTTTTAATTTACCCTTAATATGAGATAACTTCCTTTCTATTTTCTTTCAAAATACTGTATATTGATAATGATGTGTTCATATTTTGCTCACTCTTCCATCCAGAGAGCCGGGTGGATAATGAAATCTCTGTAAAACTGTCTGCTATTTGCTCTCTCTCCTCTTAGGATGAGAGTTCCTGACAAGAAGGCTAAAGCTGAAATCTTAAATCAAGCTTTCAGAACAAGCTATTAAGTTGGATCCCAATTCAGAGTATGTTTTAAAAAAATATTGCATGAGACTTTGAGAGATAATAGGAATATTTGTTCTCAGTGGCACTCAGTCTCCATGGCCCTCTAAGCCCAGAAGGGTTCTATTCTCTATGTTCTTCAGCTGATTGAGTGCTACAAGAGGTCATCTTGTTTCAGGTTCTATTTGATAGCCACGTGAAACTGCCAGATGAGATTATTTAGAGATCTCCAAGTCCTTTCTATTACCCTATGTACCATTTGGAACATGGAGCAAAGATTGATGTATGGTTGCCATTGGATTTCAATAAGGAGATAGAACCTGAAGTTGAAGATGGATCTAAACCAAATGAGGATATTATTCAGTAACCAATCTGATAACTGTCTGGTTTGGTTCTGCAACCCAACAAGACAGACGCAGACTTCAGAGGATAATTAGAAATGCAGAAAAAACAATTGCTACCAACCTGTCTTCCATTGAGGACATGTATACTGCAGGAGTCAAAAAGAGGGCTGTGAAAATATTTACAGACCCCTCACATCCTGGACATAAACTCTTTCAACTCCTACCCTCAAAACGACGCTATAGAGCACTGCACACCAGAACAACTAGACACAAGAACAGTTTTTCCCGAATGCCATCACTCTGCTAAACAAATAATTCCCTCAACACTGTCAAACTATTTACTAAGTCTGCACTACTATTAATCTTCTCATTGTTCCCATCACCCATCTCCTTCCACTTATGACTGTATGACTGTAATTTTGTTGCTTGTATCCTTACGATTGATATTGATATTGTTTCCGGATTGCTTATTTGTACCCTATGACTATCATTAAGTGTTGTACCTTATGATTCTTGATGAACGTATCTTTTCTTTTATGTACACTGAGAGCATATGCACCAAGACAAATTCCTTGCGTGTCCAATTACACTTGGCCAATAAAAATTCTATTCTATTCTATTCTATTCTATTCTATTCTATTCTATTCTATTCTATTCTATTCTAATGTCACAGAAATTTGGGAATTTGCAGGATTTAACTCTAATTTTGGATGCCCAGGAAATTGCAGGAGTGAACACTACCTTTTACCATCTTGGTCTGGTTTTTGCTGCACTCAGTGTACAAATACACACTTATACAATCAACTATTGGATAGACGTATTGAATTCTGTCATTGGATTATTGTATTTGATGCTTATGTTATGAAAAAACCTCACTATTAAAGAAGGCAATTGATTAGATTTGGATCAAAATACATAAGTTGTATTTACATTAAAGCTCTGGCATTAATACAAAATCCAGAAGTAATTTGATATTTCAATTAAGCTTGGACTAATAACTATCTAAAATCAGTAAGCAGAAAAAGAAAGGGAAATATGGATGCAAGGAAATTATTGTTTGATCACAATAAACCAATTACAGATGTACTACATGAGTTTCAATTTCCAGAATTTTCCAGTTTGCATGGCCCCTGAAGAGCGTTCTGAGAGTTGAAAGTTGAAAAGCTTCCAGGATGAGAAAGTCTGAGGAAATCAAGGGAGAAAAGAGTCAATATAGAAAAAAATATTGAAGTATTACCATTATTGAATAAATACTTAGAAATTCCCAACCCACAACTAAAATTTAGAGCACAGTTGAATAATTTCATTAAGAATCAAATGAGAATCTTCAAAAAAAATTAGAATATATTATTGAAATATCTTGTTTTTAACAAGTCAATGGGATAAAGATATGAAAGAAAATTAAACGTGCATGGTATCCGGGGTGAAATGTAAAATTTGTTACTACCGGTTCTGTGGGTGTGGCTTGGTGTGGGGGGGTAATGTGACTGGGTGGGCATGGCCAACTTTTTTTTTTTTAATTTTTCAAAGCATTTTTTCTAATGCTTTGAAAAGCCTCTGCCGATCATGTAGCTCAGCTGTGATCGTCAGAGACTTTTCAAAGCATTTTTTTTACCACCTCTTCAGCCAAGAGGTTGCAGAAAAAAATGCTTTGAAAAGCCTCTGACAATCCCAGCTGAGCCGCACGATCATCAGAGGATTTTTTTTTTTTTACTTTTAAAAGCATTTTTTCGTCGGAAAAGGTTGTAGAAAACCAGTTGCTACCGGCTCTCCGAACCACCTGCCACCATCGCTACTGGACTGGGCGATCCGATCTGAACCGGAAACATTTCACCCCTGATCCTATCTGAAGATTTAATGAACACAACAAAAGATTCTTGTTTGTGTCTGTTGGACACCTCAGATGTTAGGTAATAGAGAATTGGTTTCTATTCCTGGATATGTAATAGTTTAGACTCACAGCGGGGTGTCAAACTGGCGGCCTGTGGGCCGGATGCATCATGCGCAGGCCACGCCCATCCCAGCTCTGAAAATGGGAAAAAAGATCATGTGACAGCAACGTGACACAGCAGGTTTAATACTCGTGCTTTAGAGTAAACACTTTTCATATGTTTTAGACTTCTTCTAAAGTGACATAGTTTGGGTTTCTTATTCGTAAGGTTATTAATTAATATTAATTAATTCCTTGCATTTTTGGGAGTTTTCAATACCCTTGGCCATTATATCATTATGAGTTGGCTCTGTGGGGTGCCACAAGGCTCTATGCTCTCTCCCCTCCTTTTCAACATCTACATGAACAATATTCAACATCTGCTGGATGAGATCATCTGCTGGTTTGGGATTTGATATCATCAGAATGCTGGTGATACCTAATTACATCTCTCAAGTCTGGGCCAGCCAAGTGAGGCTGTTGAGATTCTGCCCCAATACCTGGAGGCTGTGTGGGTTTAGATAATGAGAAACTCTCCCTGATTTGACATTTCAAACAATCATACATTCCCTAGTTATCTCATAGCTTGATTACTGCAGTCCACTCTGCACAAGTCTGTCCTTGAAGATCACTAAGAAGTTTCAGCTAGTCCTAAATACAGCAGCATGGGCAGGAATGGGCATGCCTTGGTATGCCCGTGTAATATCTCTGCTTTGTGAACTGCATCGGTTGCTGGTTTGCTTCCAGGTTTGATTCAAGGTGTTGGTAACTACCTATAAAGCCCTATAGGGCATCGGGCCTAATGGTTGAAGAACAATCTATCTCCCATAATCTCTGCCTGACCTATTCCATCAGGAGAGGTTGGCACATTATGGGTTCCTTCAATTAAACAATATAACGTATAGTGACCACTGCAGCATGGCTTCTCAGTTATACTGCCTGCCCTTTAGAATAAGGATCATCCCAAGATTCAAAGAGTCCCCACCCTACTAGTATTTCTAAGCTTCCAGAGGACCTTTGACAGGGATGACTGACACTCTTTGTCTCCGTTTTCCTTGTTTTCCTCTTAGTTTGGCCATCATTGCTCTTTTGTCTTCTGTTTTTTGTCTTGTTCTTTGTTTTTAAATCTTTTTAACAAGTTGTAAACTGCCCAGAATCTCTGGGTGGCAGGTGGCCCATAAAATTTAACAACAAGAATAATAAACTTATTCTAAATTGCCTTTCTTTATAATATTTTCATCTATATGTTTTTTTCTCTTTCTTTTTAATATCTGGCCTAGAACAGCATGGGTGAGTTTTGAGACCGCTGGTCTAGAACCATTTGGGGAAAGGTTTGGGGAAAGAAATGGGTGTTTGAGGCACCACAGATGCAGGGGTGAAATCTAATTTTTTTTGCTACCGGTTCTGTGGGCGTGGCTTAATTAATGGGCGGGGCTTGATGGTAAAGTGACTGGGTGGGCGTGGCCAAGTCAATGTCACTTCTTTGCCCTTTTATAACCTACAAAACAGAACACAACACAACTGGCTCAGCCACAATGTAAAAGCAGCTGTGCTAGACTCAAAATGGCCCCGCAACAAGCAGGAACCTCACACAGCCACAAAAGGCCCCAAAAAAACAACTTTCACACTTTACACACACAAAAATTCCACATACAGCTTTGTGAGATTGTTGAAAGCTGGATCTAGCCCAATAACTCAGAGACAGACTTCGATTCTTTTCTGTAACTTTATTATAGATTTAATGGTACTGGAGGTCACTGACCTTGTATCTTTCTCTTTCAGGTATACATCTGGAATGTAATGTGGACCATGTGGTCGGAGCCTTTATACCCAGGAGGAGGGGCAAAGAGGTAAGGAGTGGTTACAGGGGTTATGGGATATGTGGTCAGTTAACCCTTGCAGGCCCAGGTGATCAGGGAGATGTAGTAGTTAGACATTTACCATGACAAAACCCCCTCTAAATGTCTAACTGGGTACCTGAGGAAGTGGTTGTATACATACAGAGAATATACAGGCACAGGCACGAATTACATGTAAACACGCATTTTAGACATGAGGTATGCATGCTGTTTATGTGGTAGGGGTTTGGTGAGAATATCTGCTGTTTGCTCCTCTGTGTCACAGTGTACTGCCTTAATGAAACCTATTTCTGAAAACTGCCTAACGTGTTTGTATTTAATGTCAATGTGCCTAGATCGCTGACCTATAGCATCGGCCTTGGAGATCTCTATCGCTGCCTTGTTGTCTTCATGAATGACTATTGGATATGAGGGTTCAGCCCAGATGTTGCAGAGCAGGTCATCAAACCATACTAAGTTGTTTGCGGCCTTGGATAGGCAAACAAATTCTGCTTCCGTAGTTGATGTGGCCACCAGTTTTTGCTTTCCAGTGTACCAATGGATGGGGCAATTGTTGAGTAGTAGCACGTAGCCGGAGGTGCTTTTTCTGCACTCTATGTCCCCAGCCCAGTCAGCATCAGCATAGCAGGTTAGCTTTGGTTTCTCGGATGTTTCTGGCTCTAGGCAGAGTAGGGCATCTGCACTGAATTTTAAGTATCTAAGAAGTCTTTTGATGGCGTTCCAGTGTGTTACCGTGGGTTTGCTTACATGTCTGGACAGTAGATTGACGGCCAAGGTGATGTCGGGCCTGGTCCAGTTGGATATATACAGCAGTGACCCTATCGTTGATCTATACAACTTATTGTCTGTGAAAGGTTCAGATTCCTCGTACATGGTCTTCAGGAACTCTGGTTGCATGGGGGTTTCGCTGGGTTTTGCTTCGGACATGTTGCATTTGGACAGCAGCTCGATGATCTTTTCTCTCTGGGAGAGGCGGAAACCCTTGTTGGTTTTTATCACTTGGACCCCTAGGTATTTATTGATCTTTCCAAGTGACTTTAGGGAGAAGTGGCTACCCAGCTCAGTGGCGAACTTGTCACATCTGTCCTTGTGCTTGCTGATGTACAAGATGTCGTCCATGTAAACGAGCACACTTCAAATGTGTTGTTTTCTCTCTTCGTGAAGAAGCATTTGTCGGCTGAGGTGGCCTCGAAGCCCATGGATCTGAGAGCTTTGGTTAGGCAGTCATACCACCTTTTGCCCGACTGCTTGAGCCCGTATAGGCTTTTGTTCAGCAGCCAGGTTTGGTTCCCGCCCTCGTTGTACCCAGGCGGTGCTTTAACGTATATCTCTTTGTCCAACTCGGCGTGCAGGTACGCTGTTTGTACGTTGAATTGGAAAACCTCCAAGCCCAGGATGGTGGCCACCACCAGGGCACTTTTGACGCTCTCCGCCCTGACGGTTGGCGAGTAGGTCTGTATAGTCTTCGGGGTATCTTTGGGCGAAACCCTGCGTGACTAGTCTTGCCTTGTACAGGACCTTGTTGTCTTCTAATGTCTTAACTCTGAACACCCATTTGGTTCCTATTGGTTTTTTGTCCTCTGGAATTTGGGCAGATGAGTATACTTGGAGGTTCCTTAGGCTCTCCATCTCCTTCTCCATGGCAGACATCCATTCTTCTTTCTCTTTCTGGGGGAGCCCGAGGATGTCCTCATATGAGCTGGGCGTGAAATGGGTGTTGTGGATGGCCATAACGTAGTCCTCCAGCTTCCTTGGCAGCTTGTTTCTGGTTTCTCTGATTGGCCTGCTGGGGGTTGGCTCGGTTTCCTGCATGTTGCTGCCTCTTTGTCTGTCAGGTCATCTATCTTTAGGGAAGGGTGCCCTTCTTTCCACTCTTTGATGCTCACCTTGCGATTGTTGGCTTTTTGCCCTCCGACCTCTCTGACCTCCTTTCCCCCTTGGTCATGTTCGAATGTGACCCTATTGGTGGGAATGTCGTTGGAGTGTACCCTCGACCAGTTTGCATTTTCGTGGAAATTGGCTGACCTGGAAACCACAAAACGGTTATTGTTGTCGACAAATCTGTAGCCCTTTGTGCCCGGTTCATAACCCACGAATCTCAGTCTTTTTGATAATTTCTCCCCTTTCTTTCTTAATTGTCTGGGGATGTGGACATCGGCTGGGGCGCCGAATATGTGTAAGTGTGCGATGTTGGGCTTTCTGTTGTATAGCATTTCGTATGGTGTCTTATTGATAGAGCTTGACCACAGTCTAATCAGGGTGTAATTAGCGTATTGTAGTGTCTCTGACCAGAAATGCTGCCCCATCCCAGCATCCTCCAGGGCGCACCTCATCATGGTTTGCAATACTCCGTTCTTTCTCTCTGAGACTCCATTTTGGAAGGGGGAGAAAGGTGAAGAGGTGTAATGCGCTATGCCCTGTTCTCTCAACCACCTTGTGAATTCCTTGGCCATGAATTCTGAGCCCCTGTTTGTCATTATCTGCCCCGTATCTGGTGTAGTCATCCACAATCGTGAGGAAGAATCGCTTCCTATGCCCTACAGAGGGTTTCAATGGCCCTACCAAGTCCATATGCACCAATTGGAAGGGGGACTCTGTGGTTCATTTGGATCCCCTGGGGATGGCCTTAACCTTGATCTTAGAACGCTTACAGACCGAACACTCCAAGTAGTTTTCGCAGTTCTTTACTTTGAGACCCTCGGTACATTCCGTCATTTTCTTTACAATGGGGAAACTTATGTGTCCCAGCCTCCTGTGGAGGAGATGGGCGCAGTTATCATGCAATAGCTTACCGATAGATACAGACTTGTTGGCCTTCTCATGGCCACTTCCTGCCTCTTGCTGCACCCCCTCTATTTCTGGATACTCATCTACTTTGTGGTTCGTGTTGGTATCAATGCCTTCTTCCTCCCTTGCGTTGGGTGTGAAGTAGGGAAGTCCCTCGTGTATGATTACCTTTCCTATCTCTTTCCCTTGCTTGATCAAGTGTGCCTTTCCATCTTTGAATTTTATCTCTATGTTTGTGTCCCGTGTCAACTTTGTGATGGCTAGCACGTTGTGGGGTATCTCTGGCACATACAGTACCCCTTTTAAATCCCCTATCTGTGTGATGTGTACGTTTCCTTTCCCCACTACTTTGACCTTGCTTTGGTTTGCCACCTTTATTTCTGAGTCTACTTCTATGAGTGAGTCTAGCAGCTCTGGGTTACAAGTAGTGTGACTTGTGGCCCCTGAGTCCAGGAGCCATGTGTTTCTCTCTGCCTTATGTTTGTCATTTGGGTCATCGTGCCTGATCCCGTACATGGAGCCAGAGTTACTGTCCCTGGAGTGGTCTCTGCGCTCGTGGTGTTTCCTGGGGTTGGGTGACCACCTCGCCCCTTTCCTTTGGGTACCTGCATTCAGGTGACCTCCCCCCTCTATTGTCGTGCTGTCCCCTGTCCCTATGGTTCCTGGGGCAATCCCTCTTTAAGTGGTTCCTTGACCCACAAGAATAACATTCTGAGGTATCCCTGGCCCTATCTTGGAAATCCACCCTCTTCGTGGGTCTAGGATCCCTTTTGGATAGTTGGCGTTCCCTCCTCAGGGTGTCCTCTGCAACGAGCTGACTGGTCAGTGCGCCTAGTGTTAGGTATTGCAAGCTGAGGCTATTTAGTTGGGTTATGAAGCTGTCCCAACTGCTATCAAGAGAGTTTATGATTATGCTTATCATGCTCTCTTCAGTGATGATTTTCCCCCTCTGCATGAGCTCTGCCCTTGTAGCATTCATCTTTAAAATGTGCTCACTCATAGGGACCCCTGCCTTGTGCTTGGTGGAGTGGAACTCCCTAGATATTCTACTGGTAGTGGCTCTACTCTGGCTATAAAACAGGTTACATAGTTTTTGCATAACATCATAAACAGTCAGATTGTCCTCACTAGATGGATACATAGCAGATGGAATGGAGGTTAACATGATACAAAATGCCCTGTGATGAATACAGTCAATTTCCAGTGACCAGGGCTTTTGGGGAGGTCTGTTAGCTAGGAACAGTGCATTCTCTCTCATGAGAGCAACTCTTAATTGTTGACTCCATTCTATAACATTACCCCCATCTAACTGTAATTTTGGCAAATTGGCATAATTTGCCCCAGAAATGTTAGTAAGGTTACTTACTGGGGGGAGCTGTCCATGGTCCAAACTGTGATTGAACTCACAATAAGGCTTTGGGATGTCTGTGGCCATTCTGTACTTGCTTGGATCTATGTAGCTTGCTTCTCTTGTTACAGGCAGGTACTGGGCATGCACGAAACTCATTCCGCACTGGAGTCCATCGGGTGAGGTTCCTGTTGCTGGAGCTCCCAGGCCTAGGCCTAGGCCTGTCGGTGGGAGGCTGGAGCCACCCCCGGTGGGTCCAAAGATTCCTCCTGAAAGTGGACACCACTGCTGGATGGCCGGATCCCCGGTGAAGAAGAGTAGAAGATGAGGAGGCGACGCGGTCGTAAGTCGAGGACTTCCGCGGGTTGGCGGCACGGCAGCAGCGGAGGTCATAGGTTGAGGATTCCCTGCACCCAGCAGCTCAGCGGTAATGGCCGCGGCGGCGGCAGATCCTCCCTCGTGGTCGCTGGTCCCTGGTCGCGTGGATCGGCCTGGTGGATGTCGTGGCGTTGGTGAGTAGCCGGTTCTTCTCTTCTCCCTCGGGCCTCGCGTAGTTGGTGTAGCGGGTGGCGAGTTCGAGTCCTGCGGTTGATCCTTCCTGCAGGTGGGCGGTCTTTTGTGCCGGTTGTTGGTGTGCGCGGTGTCTTTAGTTGGCTGTGACTCAGTTGCCTGGTCGTTGTTGGTTGTCCTGGCCTTCTTGTGTTTTCCAGGATTTTTCTTTGCTTTTTTGAGTGCTGCAGGAGGCTCGAAGGCGGAGCCCAGGGCAGCGGTGATGGTCTCGATTGCCTTTTGCAACTCGAGATCAGTAGGTGTTTTTTTCTTAGTGATTGTAGTTTCTTCGTGGTCACTTTCAGAGTTGGGCTCTTCGTTGTTGCTTTCTGAGTCCCCTTCGTCTGTTTTGGGGTTTGGGCATTTTCGCGCCAAGGGATTCAAATCCTGGCTTCCCATTGGCTGGTGCTCGTCCCAAGATGGCCGCCGGGAAGAGGGCGCGAAAATGGATTCTGCCAGCTCAGGATCATCGGGTTGGGGTGGCTTACCCTTTTTTGCTGGCTTTTCTCTCTCGGTGGTCTTTGGGGCCTCGATCGCTGCTTCTTGCTGCTCGAAGAGGCTTTGAAGGTCCGCGATGAGGTTTTCTTTGTCGCTGCTTGCCTCCATCAGTTTCAGGATGGAGAGTTTGAATTTATTCATTTTCTGGGCTGTTTCTTCTTCCAGGGCGGTGATCTCTTTGGATGGCCCCTCTTCATCTGATTGTGAGTCCAGGCTGGAGTCCTGCTCACTTCCAGCTTCTGTCTCCTCCATGGCTGTGGCTTTGGTTGCAAGTTTCTCAGCCATCTTCTTGGTAAGAGCTCTGGTCTGTACTCTGTCTGCTTCTTCAGGGTAGATGTTGGGTTCAGTCATTATCTGGAGTTATGGGCAACCGACCTCTGCTACCATTTTGTTGAAAGCTGGATCTAGCCCAATAACTCAGAGACAGACTTCGATTCTTTTCTGTAACTTTATTATAGATTTAATGGTACTGGAGGTCACTGACTTGTACCTTTCTCTTTCAGGTATACATCTGGAATGTAATGTGGACCATGTGGTCAGAGCCTTTATACCCAGGAGGAGGGGCAAAGAGGTAAGAAGTGGTTACAGGGGTTATGGGATATGTGGTCAGTTAACCCTTGCAGGCCCGGGTGATCAGGGAGATGTAGTAGTTACACATTTACCATGACAGAGATTTTGTGTGTTTGTGTAGTTAGAATGAAACACTACAGAAACACACTAAATCTCAGAAAGCTGCACAAATATTACTTTATTTTTATTTATTTTTATTTTTATATAAAAGCAGCTCAATTTAAAACTTCCTAAACTTTAAATGGCTAGGTCTAAAAAAAGAACAACTAAAAAAAACCCCAATTAAGTTTTTTTTTTTAAAGCTCCCAAAGGGGGAAAAAACTTGCCCAATAGAACAGGGGTCTCCAACCTTGGCAACTTTAAGACTTGTGGACTTCAACTCCCAGAATTCCTCAGCCAGCTTTGCTGGGAGTTGAAGTCCACAAGTCTAGGCAGGAAGGCAGGCAGGCAGAAAGAGCTGTTCACCGATGAGCTTGATTGCAGGCAGGGAGATTCAGTTGCTTGCTGATGCATGGATTGCGATTGTCATGCGATCAGCAGCTAAGGTAAGCAAGCTGGAGGCTGGGGGGGGAGAGAAAAAAAGAAACTTTTTTTTCTTTTACATGGCTCTGGCGATCCAAGCTGAGTTGCCTGGTTAGCAGGCAACTCAGCTGGGATGTCAGAGCTTGGCTGGTCAGAGCCATTTAAAAGGAAAAAAATGCTCTGATGATCACGGGGTTCAACTGGGCATGGGGGCGGGGGCAGGGATTTTTGCTACCGGTTCTCCGAACTGCCCGCCACCATTGCTACCTACTCGCCCGAGCCGGTCCAAACTGGGAGCATTTCACCCCTGCACAGATGTAAAGCTCTCATTCTCATACTCAAACTCTCCCAAATGCAAAAGAAGGCCAAATTTGGATCCAGTTGATCTGGAATGTGGTGGGAGTGGAAGGGGAGCAACAAGACAATCAGGACAGGCTCTACCCGAGCTAAATTGTCTCCTGATGCTAATGGTATACAGTATACATATTTTCTATTCAAACTAAAGGATACGGTGTGCATCTTAAGAATGTATCCTTTATTCATTTACCAAAGTGGCACTCAGAAATTAAAGCAAATACCGCAAAATTACAAGTTAAAGGATAGCCCTGTTGTTCCAGGTCTCTTAACTAGTTATCTGCTTGTCTGAACCAGCATAGCTCAGGCAGTTGCATTCCTGCCATTAGTACTCAGGCTGATTTATTGTATTTGAAAAAGGTATAAATACTGATACATTCTTCATCTTCAGGCATTAAGACAAGGACTTTTTCAGAGGTTCAATCAACTACTTTGATGATCATTTAAAGAAACCAGGGGGAAAAGCCGAGGTAAATAAAAGCCCCTTTTATTCTAGCTGGAAAAAAAATGCTTTGGATGAAAACAGAATGCCTTTTTAAATATGCATGTGACTCTAACATTTAAAAATGCTTTTAGTCCATCAATAATTAAAAGAAACAAAGATATATAGAGAAAATGTTTCATTATTTTATATGTAATACATTACTTCTGAATGCAGATCAATAAAAATTATATCTAGGGCAGTTATTCCATCCTTTAATCAATTAATGCCCATTCGTATACTCACTTAGTGGACATAAACCCTATTGAACTAATTTGAATTTACTTCTGAATAGATATATGTAATACTATGCTGAAATTATGTTGCGTATAAAATTGCATATTACCAAAGTCATCTTAAACATTTTTAATGAGAAAAAACCTTTCCCCCCCACTCCTAGTTTAGGAATCTCGAAATCACGAAACGTCAGGAAAACACAAAATGTTCAGACATGTTCAAAGTCATCTGTATTGTGGGAAATTCATAGGGTGGCATGTGTGTGCACATGTCATTGGGTAAATCCTGTGATTATGTACTTATATCCCATCATCTGACATGGAAGTTATAGTCTATAGCACAGATGTTATAGATGTCATCACAGATATTTTATCATCTGCCCCAACCTTGCTCCCTTTCCATTGTCCATGAATTTGGATTAAGGACGTATTTCAAATAGAACAAAACTAGTTTGATGTAGTTTACAGCCCTTAGTGCCTAAAGAAAGTCAAAGTGATTTCACCTTGAGACTGAAAGTAATTGCTAACAAATAGGAAGACTATGTCCAATCCCACAATATTGTACAGGGAAAGCTGTTTCAGAATATAACTAATTCTTGGTTTTGGGTTTGTGTCAAAAAAAATGAAAATGTAGACACTAGCTCACCCACCATTTTATAGCAGTTAATTTATGTCAAGAATTTACCTGTTTGAGGCTAAATCCTAAATGAAGAGATCCAGGCATACAATAAATTGACTTCTCAATATTTTCCAGAGCTTAGAAAAGGACAGAGACAACAGAAAGTGAAAATTGGGAAATGGGGATAGTCAGAATATTGGGAAACAAAAAAGGGGGGGATAATTGAGCAGAGAATAGCTGGGACTTTGAAGACTAGAGACTAGTTTCATCCCAAACCCCTCATTCATGACATTCTGCCTGTATAATATTTCATATCTGAATGGTGAGATTAATTTATATGAATATATATTTATACTCTTTTTACAGATTAGGAAATACAGTGACTTTAGTCCTATCCTATTATTTAATCATAGAAACAGAACACCTGTTAATTACATTTTTTTAGCAAGGATGCTGCCCTACATCTGCTGATGGAGCAGCCTGGAATTTAGCTTGATGCATTACTAACTGCTTCCCACGGATGCAAATGCAGTGCACATAAAATCATTCCCTTTCTGGTGCACCAGACCTCTTGAATAATTCAGAGCATAAAGCATAACCTAATGCTTTTATTGTGCCAGGAGACAATGATTTATTTTCATGGAGATTATCTGAAAGTTGTCTCCCCAATTTGCTGCTTCGAGTCTTTCCAGTAATACAAGGCACTTATCAAATTAGAATTCTTAGGGAATAGAATGACATATACCAATCTATATTTAGCAACAACAACCAAAAAGCAGCTGAATCAGCTGACTGGAAGCCACTACCCTAATGTTCAGTCTTGGTTTAGACAGCACATATTCAGTACTGAAGTGAAGGAGAACAGACAGTGCAGGAGAGACACTGAATCTGGAGATTTGCAAACAGCCAAGCTGTATTTGAAACAAACACATCCAGGTAAGAGAGAGGGCATTTCAGTGGAATCTGTGCTCAAATTCTCGTAAATGCAGGGATTGAAATGGAGAGCTGAAGGAGGAGAAGTACCAAGTCGAGGTATGGACACTAATGCCACTTGGATGTACTGGCTATTTGTGTGGCCAAGGCAGGAGGAGACCCAAGGGAACTGTCACTGAGCAGACTATTTGAGGAGCTCCAATGCTTGCGTGTCTTTGCTCTGTTTGCCCTATTTGTCAGTTCTGTGGATTTCAGAATGGGTTATGATTACGCTCTGTGCTTAATACAGAAAGACCAAGTAAGACCAGGTTAGAGCAATCACAGTAAATGAATGGAAGGGGGGTAAAATAAAGCGATTCAGTTTATTTTGAATTCAATTTTTTTCACTGCCAATATTATTAGTAGATACCAATGAACATTTTTAAAAATTGGCATTTCTAGTGAAAATTTCATGTCTGTGTTCTGTCGTAGTTTTGTGTTCTACAGACTCTTGGACCAGAGCAGGTGGATGAGAAAATGCCACTGAGATAATAGTCGTGATAAGCCAGGTCTGCCTTTTCTCCAACTCAGCTGGAGAGTCTAAATGGCAAGGACCAAGAGTCATCTCAGTGAATGAATTCTGAAGGTTTCCTAAAGAAAAAAATGTAGTTTTCCTTTAAATAACCTCCCCCCCCCTCCATCAAAGAAAGAAAGAACGTTTGATAGCATTGGGTTAAGATGCTTCAAAATATCCCTGGACCAATGGGTTTGTGTTTACCTTTGAAGAGTTGGGAGGGGGTTTCTTCCTCACAGCATGAACATCCTTTGGTAACTGCATTTTCTCCCTTTTCTTTGTGGCCTTTCCTTCTTCTCTTCCCCACTCCCCATCTGAGGCCTTATTAAAGCTGTTTTCCTTAGTTTTGTCATGGCTTCCTTCATTAATAATGCAGACAAGGATTGGGAATCTGCCCAGCATGTCCTGAATATCTATCTGTCTTTCTCCTTACTAGAATTTATATCCTGTCCATTGCTGGAGACTTTGAGTGATTTATTGGCCCTAAGGCCAATTTAGGCTCCTGCTGACATAGACCTATCCACCCTCTCCATGGTCATTTTTGACTTGGGCTACCAAGACCAAACACCTGGTATCCACAGGTACATTTGCTCACAGAATACCTGATCTTCCAAAGTACTTGATGGTTCTTCCCCAAGCTCCTTAGAAACATCACTTCACTACCTCTTCAAAGAGCTGTAGGTCTGCTGTATAGAAGAGCTGATTTAAACAATTCAAGAGAACTGGGTTGCTAGTTCTGTCACCCTTGGTGCATTATTTCCATTGCTTTCACTAAGAGAGGCTATTAAATGGCTGTACCTCTTTGTTGTTTTCATTACTTTGTGAGGGGGCATCATCGGGGTGGGTTCTACTTACCTTTACTACCAGTTTGCAGCGGGGCCACGCACGCAGGCTTCGCTCGTGCGCGCGCACTCTTCTGCACATGCGCAGAAGCATTTTGATGACGTTAGAGTCAGTGGGCGGAGCCTCCCGCCGGTTTTACTACCAGTTCTATAGAACCGGTGTGAACCGGGGGCAATCCACCACTGGGCATCATGTTGTCTATAACATTTTATGTTATTTTAATGACTTGTTATTAGACAAAGATCAATCCCGATTGCCTGCTGATCACTTCTGTCACTTTGTGCCAGCACTGCCATTCTCTTGAGGCAGGATGTGTCAAGGACAGAAGTTTCTTATAATCATGATTTCCCACTGCATCTCGCATAATTCCCAGTTTATGGTCCCATAATTCCCAGCTACTCTCTCCACATTAAAGAAGGATAATAGATACTCAAAATGAATTCAAATATCCAAGTATTACTTCTAGATAAACAGACAGATAGATTATATGCTAACAAGTTGCTTTTTACTCCTAGCAACCACATGCATAGATTTTCTCCCTGACAATCTATCCCTAAGCTGGTCTTCCAGATCTTGCAAGAATGCACTCGTTGCAATTGTCACTGCATCAGGGATGGGTTCTGCTTACCTTTACTACCGGTTTGCAGCGGGGCCGCCCGCACATGCATGTTTCGCTTGTGCACATGCACTCTTCTGCACATGCGCAGAAGCATTTTCATGATGTCAGGGTCAGTGGGCGGGGCCTCCTGCCAGTTTTACTACCAGTTCTATAGAACCGGTGCGAACCAGGGGCAACCCACCACTGCACTGCACTGCATCCATCCAACTTGCTTCCTGTCATCCTCTTTTCTCAGCATTACATCCTTTTCCAGGGAGTTAGATCTTCATATAATATGTTCAAAGTAGGATCTTTAGAACAAAAAAAAGTGTTTGATAGAAGTAATACCCACTGCCCTATGAATGCCTTTTGACTTTAACTTGAAAATGGAAGAGTAGTTAGAAGGAATATTTATATATATATATATATATATATATATATATATATATATAATTATATGGGTACTGTAGTTAGCTGAAATATAAACAAAGATTCTTGATAAGCAGTATCTGGTTTCTTGCTTTTATCTTTTAATTATTAATATTTAAAATATTCTTCACCCTACCTACATGATTGTTTCTGAGCGTAATCCTAAGGAATGAACTCAATTCTATGAAGCCAGAATTAGTTTATCAGTAGGTTAAGAACAATACTGTTAGGGGGGAAGGAAGGAAAGAAGGAAGGAAGGAAGGAAGGAAGGGAGGGAGGGAGGGAGGGAGGGAGGGAGGGAGGGAGGGAGGAAGGAAGGAAGGAAGGAAAGAAGGAAGGAATAGTTTGTGTATTAGGGCACTGAAGGGTATTACGGTCAAATCAGGAATGCTCCCTTAAACATGAGGGATTTCAAGTTTTAAAGAATGCATGTAGAACAGAAGCAGGTTGTAGGGTACATGCCAGAAACATGGATGAAACAATTTCTTTTTTATATGCAAAAATATCTTCAACTCTAATGTTTTTTATAGTACCCCCTAATAATAAAATTGTTAATAAGTAAAGCTTGATAAATCAGTTTCAGTCAGTGGCATCACACAATTGTATAATGGGTCTCTGGTTTGGCTTCTCTTAAAGGCAAAGCATGCAGTTGTTAGATGGGAATGTTCTTCAGAAACCTGGGTGTCATGGCATATTGTCCTGAACCACACATCTGCTGAAAAACATACAAAAATGTTATCTTTTCTCCATTGTAATAAAATTGCCTACCTAGTTTTAAGAGAAATGTTCCTGGAAAAGGGGGAAAACATGATGAAAGAAATGCATATATTCACCTACGGTACATATAATATATATATATAGGCTTTATAGGTAGCCTATAAAAAGTTGTCTGTAATAAGCAAAAAAAAAAAGGCCTTAATACTGAATTAATTTGTGTTAAAAAAGAGTTAAAATAACAAGACAAAGTCTTATTCTAAATAAAATGTATTTATGCTTGCTGCTTCCATAAGAAGGTTTACATTAATGTAATATATTGCTTACAAAATATAATGATTTCAGTAAATCTTTGTGATACATTCACATTGGTTAATGATATCCTATATATTATTTTCAGTAATGGCTCCTTGGATAAGACTGAGCTTAGCAAAGCCTCTCCCAACCATCAGTGAAGCTTTTGAAGATATTCTAGAAGACATAACAAGCAACACAAATGGTTTTGGAAATGTTTACATGAATCCAGGTTCTTGTTCAGTTGAAGATCACTGTCAATCAAACTTCCAACTAGCAAGATCTGCTTTTATGGGACCTCTGGAGAGCAAGCATCATTTCCAAGACAAAGAGAGATGCGGAATGCTGCCCAACCGACAAACAATCTTAAATCTGTCTGAGTCACCACAAATGGTTTCTAGATGCACTCTTCCTAAAGTGTTGTCATTGCAACAGAACAGTTTCATTCATGATTATATCAAAACCTACTCCGCTTCGGGCAGGAACGCATTAGAAGACCTGTATGAAGGAGCCCAGAAGACTTGTGGATGGAAATGTCCTATTGGCAGTGAGAACACAGGAACTGACTGCACACAGCTCAACTTTCACAGCACCTATGCAGTCACACCTCAAGAAAAAATGAGCAAAAAACAACATGTGACTAGCTTACCAAGATACCCTTCTCCAAGACCATCGCAAAGAGAAAATGGCTGCCAGGAACAAAAATATAGTTACAATCAAGACAAGGTGCCAGCTTTGGAAAGCAGCTCCAATCCAAACCCTCTTCCTGTTAATGGTAAATCAATCTGGCTGCATCCCATCAGAGAAGCACCCCTGAGTGCCAGGGATTGGCGATCTTCACAAAGAGGGCAGCATGGTTTGAAGACAACTGGATCTCCTGAAAAAGAGTCTCTGAAGTCTTCTACTCATAAACAATCTCTGAAGGGAGAGACAGATAACAGAAATAGCTGGGTGGAATATTTCCATATTGATAAGAAAATCACAGGTCGCGATTGGATTGCAGAATACCAAAGTGCTTGGAAAGAAGCCAAGGTTAGAGCATGCCTACTCCCTGCCATAGAAGAGTCGTAGTTTTCTTTTTTATTTAATGGCAACAAAAATACATATATATAAATCTTTACGTCCCTATTGTGAAGAGCATCTGTAGCATTCCTCCTGTTAATGGCACAGAAATGCTTTATTATGTGCAAATGTTAAAGGAAGATGTGTGGATCTTCAGACAATCAAGAGGAACAAGCAGCAGTGCACCATAGAAGACATAATGAGGGTTCTGTACCTTAGGCATTCAGATAATAAGCCATAATTGTTAAACATGTTTCTAATCTCTTGTAATTTTGACTGTCGGAACAGTCAAAATGAGACATTCCAAGCACATCCAGCTTGAACGTGCTGGAACTGAAGTCTATTTGAATTTAGCTAAAGAGCACTCCAAAACATACAACAGAAAAAAAAACATTTAATATATTAATAGTAGGATAGGATTTATTCTGTTAGATTTTTTATCATAATCAAAAAGAGAGCCTGGAAGAACTCAGAAGCAAAGATCTACTACTTCAGAGGAGCACAATGGCTCAGCAAAAGCTCAAAATCAGGGCAGCAATGTCCCTCCCATCCTGTTGCTTCCTCCCCAGCATCTATATTCAGAGTAACTAAATCTCAAGACTGCAAAGAGCCGCTGATTACAATATCGCTGATCACAGTATCTACCCTGATTTATCTGCTTCCATTTTAATTCTATTAATTGGAAAGCCATCGGTGTACCTTGCTTATCAACATATCCCATATGCTATCTATTGCAAGAGGATTTTGTTTGCCTTGATCTCTGGGTTCACCAGAACACTATCGTGGAACATTAGACTATACGCCGACTCTTATTAGCTTTTATCATCTTTATACAGAACTTAAATCTCTTTCCCCAGCTGCAATTTCAAAAGAGAAAGTAAGCCCTCATTTGTTTTCTAGGTAGCAACCAAACCATTTTTTAGCAGAGTCTTCTGCCTATTAGGTCACGTTGCTTAATCAAATTACTTTTGTTTTTTGTTTGACTTTTATTACTGTTCTATTTTCATAATGATGAAAATTTCATTGTTTTGGCTTGTGTGTGTGTGTGTGTGTGTGTGTGTGTGTGTTCATTTGCTTTCCTTTTGTGTATTCAGAAATACACAAGTTGCTTGTGTTTATCTAAGAAGTAACAGAGGGATTTTAGCTCCTCTTATAGGAAGACTACTCATAGGTGGTCGCTTCCTGGCTGAAACAAGTATATTAAAAATGTTAAAGGTCATCAATAGCTACTGAAAAATACAGTGCCTTTCAATTAGAGCATTCCATTTTTGTCATGAATTTACATTGTTTTTTTCTCATGAGTTTTTTGTTACATCATTGCATTGTGAATAGATTTTTGTTTTTAGGCCTCTTTGTTTCTGAATCTAGCATGAATAGGTTAAAATACTTCTACTAAATGAAAAAGACAGTTGAAATCAAACTGTGGTGTGTTTGTAAATTAGCTGCCCAGAGAAGGAAGGAAAGAAGGAAGGAAGGAAGGAAGGAAGGAAGGAAGGAAGGAAGGAAGGAAGGAAGGAAGGGTTGATTGGTGCATAAGGCCTGACTAGTCAGATCTGCTCTCAGCTGGCTTGCAAAATTCTAGAAACTTTTGCAATGGTCTCTTGCAAACTGGTATAATCCAGCTCCAGTACATGGTGTAGTAAACCATAATTCTCTTCTAATTTGGTAGAGTTAATTTTATTTTTTCCTGATATAAATTGAAATCCAACTGTCTATACTTGGTGGATATTTTTGGTTTGCTGCATTTTTGCTGGTCAGATGGCGGCGTGTCATTTTTTTCCCCCCAAAGCAAATTGCATTGTTTTCTTGAAATTCACAATAATAAAAATCACAATATTTAATCATTAGTGTACATATGATATCAAGAGACTGCTTTACATATCATTATATTAAATAGCAATTGTGTCTCAATTCAGTTGTGATAGTCCCCTACTTGCGACTGTGGTATACCACTCTTCTTATTGTAGGTAAATATAATATAGGCTGAGAAGTTGCATGAAATGTATACATACACAACAAATTGTGTATCACTTTAATTAATTGCTGAATATAGTTTGTGGTGTATTATAGTGGTAAAGGAGATGGATTAAGAATGGTGAAATCCAGGTCTAAGTCCATTCTTAGCCATGGAAATTTACTGAGGAGTCTCACCTAATTTTCCTCACAGATTTTTCTTGTGGGGAAGAAATGAAAGGAGTTCCATTTCAAAGCCACTTTGAGCTCCTGGAGTAAAGGCAACATACATATATAGCAAATAAACAATTAAATATATCCACTAACTTTCTGAGGATTGAAGTGGACATGAGGGGAACCATATGCTTTTCATGTTATTCTATATAAATTAGGTATTGCATGCTGTATGCTAAAGTTATTCCTTCATGGACCTCCACAAATTTCCATTTTGAGCTTTATTCAGGATCCACTCATCCTTACTAAGCTCTTTGTGTTGGTAGTCAGGAAATATCAAAGAGACAGTAGCACAATTCTCTTTCATATTCACCCAACAACCCATCTTCCTCAGCTAAATTAATTGGGAGAAAAACCGTGATACCTATAGTGGTCCACAAAGAAATATCAGCTCACAGCATATCCTGTAAAAACAGTAGAGGCATTGTTCCTGGTGTATTACTTCAGGAAATCTTTGCAAAAGAATTTGACCATTCAGTATGAATGGTGTGAGCTCTACCAGATGGGGAAATTAATTCTTTCTGGAAAGTTTGAGTTACATGAAGGAGTGATTAGCAATGCATAGAATTTCTTTCTTCTGCCTCCAGCTAGTCATCACATCGGTTCTGGAAAGTTGGGGAACGTTCAACAATGTGAGTTAGAGAATTAACTGTTAAATATTTCTTTTTTAAAAAGTCTTGTTTTGGTTTTTAACTGAGAACTGTATGCAACAAAATTTCATTTTAATGTATGCCGATTAGTGTACATTCAAAGTGACAATAAAATTATTCTAGGTCTAAGTTCTAAGTCTTAACTCCTTGGAATAGAAATAGAAAGCCAGCCAGAAATAAAGGGAAAGGATCAAACTTTTCTCCTTCACGTTCTGGTTTGCTGTAACTCTAGATTTAAGCTGCATGAAAAGTAAGGAAAGTAGACAAATTTACCATCTTTTCATCTTGGATCTGGGCAAATATTTTGTTACATTTTAAAAGCTTCTTAATTCAATTAATAGCTTATTTATTGTACACATTTGTGGTAAATCAGATGATTACATGAGAATGGGAATATTTGTTTTTACCCATACTTTCATACATTAAAAAATACACGAAGGAATAAATGTTCATTCAAGCTTTTGCTTTAATCAAAAATTAAAGGGAAATGCAGAGTCTGTTCCAACTCATTAAAGTTTGAGAACCTATAGTGAATACCCAGCCCTTATGTTGCCGTCATTTATGTGTTTCAACTGCTGCAAGAGTCCCTAACAAAGCTTATATCTTCTCATTTGCAATGCTGTGAATTGTCCAGTGAGGATGTTATCACAAACTGAATGGAGGGGAAAATGCAGATCAATGTTATGTTTTAAAGCTTCAGCCTAGGGAAGAAAAAATGCCATCATAATTAATATAAGATACTTCCAAGTAAGCTTGCCTAGGATTACTGAGAACTAAGCTATATCAGAAATCCGAATAGATTCTTTTAGGAGAATGATGTAAATCTCAGGATAAAGATGTTTGGAAAACAACATTGTTATGAAAAAGCAGCTAGAATCTATGGCAGCAGCAGCAGGATCACCAACTCACCCATAACCTAATGAAAAGGGTATTTTTTAAGTGTGTTTGGAATATTTTTCTGCTGGTGTCAACATCAGATGGATAGATAACCATCTTAATGTCTTTTTTTCCCTGGACCTGTGATGCACACTTATTGTGAAATATATTCTATGGAGTCTATTGGGCAACATTCATAAAGAGTGGAGTATAAATTTGACATGAGAAGCTTACTGGAGTATTGCTAATCCAAACTGACCTTTAGCGCCTTAGAATGGCTTTGCAACAAGGCAGAACATTCTGGTATTCAAATGAACTAAGACGCTATTGACAGAGAAACCCTTCAGAATGATTTATTGTTAAATTCCTGTTATTTCAAAAGGACTTTTCTGCCGTGTAAAAGCCACTGAACCATCACAGCGTCTCATAGCATCACAGCCTGTGAACCATTATAGCATCTCATGGAACTCATGCTGACGTATGATGAAAATTAAAGAACTGTTTCAGGCACACTTACCTACCACCCTCCATAGTTAAATTATTATCAAATATCAAAAGTGGCTTGTTATGTGATATGAAGGTTGGATGTGTTTTTTTTAAAGAAATACCCCATTCTCCTTTGGATACATGGAAGAAGTTGGAGGGTCTCTGGTGCTTGGCTTTACTCTTTTTCCTGGAGGTTTTTTTCCAGTCTGAGATTCCTCCATAAGCTTTTTGCTGTGTAATGGCACCTTGTAATGCTGAAAAGAATGGTTTATAGAATTGCTTGTAAAACAAGAAGCTCTTGTTTTATCGTACCTTGAAACATTTTGGAACAGTTAATAGCTAATAAGTTTGATATGTAAGTCTAAGAACGATACATATATATGCGTTGAAAAATTATGCAAATAAACATTGAAAAATTGCATTTATTGTCTTGATTAAAATTATGTTTTCCTATCATAGTACATAAAGCACAGATCAAAAACTGGGAATCAGTCTTACAAGCCTTGCTGGTACCTATGACAAAAAACATTAAGTGGTAGCTACCGCTAAACACAAATTCATTTTGCCAATGTGTCCTTTGTTGTATATGTAAAATCCAGATTACAAAAATGCTAAAAAGTGAATTGCATGACATTTCTGTTCTATATACAAATAAACTTTCATTTTGTGAAACTATTTAAAGGGTCATAGAATATGGTACATACATAACTGCATCACATATAAAACATTTAGGGCTACTCTTAGAATAATAGAATTCAATTAAAATTATTAGGGGAAGCCCTTTTGTGTTTTATTAAATTCAGTGGAACATCACCACATTAATTGCACAAAAGTATGGTATCAGTCTTGGCTAATCTTGGAAAAGCTATAGTTGAATAGGGCAGACATGCAAGTAGACTAGGGTAGGAGGCTGGAAAAAAAGGGAGAGAAGAGGGGAAGGGAGAGAAAGGGAAAGAAAAACAGGAAGGAAGGGGGGAGGGAGGGAGGGAGAGAGAAAGAAAGAAAGAAAGAAAGAAAGAAAGAAAGAAAGAAAGAAAGAAAGAAAGAAAGAAAGAAAGAAGCTCAATGGCAAACTATGCTGTATTTCAAAGAAAACAACATGAACTGGTCCACGTAATCACCAGGAGTTAAACTTAACTCAAGGGACAATCGAATTTTTTAAAAACTCATTTATTTTTAATTCTGTTTTCTGTTGTCTCAGAACTTTGTTTCTCTTGTCTGTGTCATCCCATATCTCCTGGGAAACCCTCTTTTCTCTAAGCTTCTATCTTCTATTTTTCAATTTATTTTTTTATATGTCTTTTAAGTTCTCCCTCTCAAGTCTTTAGCAGTCATGAAGAAAATGTGGCTATGCTTCAGGTCTAAATTAAACTAAAAATTCAAATCATAAACATATAATTCATTGGGAATAAAGGAACACCCTTACCAATAAGCAACTTATGGAAAATGTGTGTGTGTGTGTTTGGGGGAGGGAATAGAAAAAAGGAAATGAATTAAAAGTGTATCTGCTAAAAATGGTTTATTCAAGCCTGTTAACAAAACCACTTACAAAAAACCCTAAATAGCAAACTATTAAAAGTATAAAAATAATGAACAAATAAAAAATAAAATTAACAAATCTACCTATGAAAATCAGGATTACCAGATGAAACCTGGCAATTAACCACATTCCTCTTTCTCTGCCTGTCTACCAAAGCTGTAAACAAAATGAAAACTGGGAGAAAAAAAGGAGACAAAGAGAAATTATGGTATATTTAATTGATAGGCTCATAGATCCTGCAAACCAACATAGCTTTCTGCTATGGAGCGCCTACAGCTAGATGGGAAAGCTGCTTCTTTTTGTAATAATTTACAGGCTTTTCAAGACTATAAAATATCCTCATGCCAGTTTCCAAGGTAAGAACTGTAAGCCATCCAGAGTTATTTGGTTTAGATGGGTGGCCATAGAAATTAAATAAATAATAAGGCCAATTTTACAGGATATAGAAAGAAATGTGTAATTCTTGGTTGTGACCATAGGAAAAGGTTGGAGAAATTTTCTGTATGAGTCTGAAAGATAAATCTGACAAGATTATCATCATATTACTCTCCTATTCCTGTTGTCAGTCTAGTTATTTGCAATATAATATCTCAATCAGCTCTTTGACACAATTCAAAAGATCAGAAAATTCTGAAGCTCGCTTCTTTCTAGATGACACCCAATAGGCTGCAGTCTGAAACAGATAAAAAACATTTTTTTGAACATCTTTATGCTACACAGAAGAAACTCCAAGCATTTTTTTTTCCTTCTCCGATTTGATCCAAATCTTCTTTGCCAAATACTAGCTCTTTTTTGTTAGGTCTTGAACAGTTGCAGCTGCAATTAATTTTTCACTTGCTGGAACTTTGCTTATGTGTACTTTTAACTGTTTATTGGTATTGCTCTATTTCCTGTCAATCTTACCAGGCTTATCAGCAAATTCTTCTTGGGCCTGGTGGCTCAGCAGACTGATAGCATTGTGATTAACACCAGCTGTCTGCAATTACTGTAAATTCAATCTCGCCAAGGCTCAAGGTTGACTCAGCCATCCATCCTTTCTAAGGTAAGTAAATTGAGGACCCAGTTTGTGGGGGCAATAAGCTGACTTTGTATATTTATACAAAAGTATGAAGGCTATTGCTTAACACATTGTAAGCCACCCTGAGTCTCCAGAGAAGGGCGGCATATAAATCAAATTAAAAAAAAATTTCCAAGAAGTATAAATGTAATGAAGTGCAAAGCATCTCAAAATGCCTACTTCTGAAGGGATAAAAGCAGATGCAATTTCTGGAAATCTGTCACTTGGAATATCTCCCAAATGAATAGTAATGTCAATCAGAAGTCTCACCTGGGCATATTTTCTGACTTGAAGCCTTAGTTCCTCGCTCTGTAACAGTCTCTCTAGAAACTAAGAGATGGCTGTGCCACAGGAGAAAGGAGGGAGAACTCCTTTTTAGGGGGGATGAGGTATTATCTTCCTCAAATGCCAAAATTAGCAGAATTCATTTTACCCTCTCTCTTCAAATACAGACTACAAACTATATCTTTGCAACCATTGAGGGAACAGCGAAATATACATGTCCTTCCAATTCTTCACTTTTTGCATTCCTTTCTTTCCCTGTACTTCATAGTATTCTTAGCTAGTTAAGTTTTTGTGGTAAGGTCTGTTTTCAAGCCTTCAGCGCTTCAAAAAAAAGTAAATTATAGCAGCATTGCTATGCTTCAAGTAATAAGTTTACAAAGCAGCCCTGTTCAAACCGGGTTGTTCTAAGTTTACCAGAATGTGTTCTGACACTGTTTCAAATATTCTGTAAGTATCTTGACTCAAAGCAATTCTGATTTAAATATGAAAGACGTTCTGAATCCAAAATAAGTCTCTCTTTGAACATTTATGGAAAGGGCAGATGAACACTTTGAGCAAAGACTGATCAGCCAGTTTTATACTTGAAAAAATTTATAGTCAATATGTTTTATATACCCATGTCTTTAATTCAGAGAGCCAATTTGATGTTGTGGTTACGACAACAGGCTAGAAACTGGGAGACCCTGAGTTATAGTCCCTTAGGAACAAGGCCAGTTGGGTGACCTTGGGCCAGCCACTCCCAAGTCCTAGGAGGGCAAACCACTTCCAAAATCTTGCCAAGAAAATTGCAGGGACAATCCAGGTAGAGGTCAGGCATCAAGACTGACTCAAAAGCAATTCTCTATCTCTCTTTCTCTCTCACCCACACACACACCCACACACCCACCCTCTACTTCAGTCACATTTTACAATCTAGATGTTTTAACCACTGTCCAGTGTTCCTTCTGTGTTTACCCAGTGTTTTGTTCCCTAAATTTGTTTTGTGGGGTAAGAGCTAACATAGCAACACAATTTCCCTGTGACATGAGTAGGAAAGCATACAGTGAAAAATCTGGTGGAAAGAATTGTATTAAGTCGCTGAGTGTCGCTTGACAGTGAGACAGGTGGCATATAAATTAAATAAATAAATAAAAATCTCAACTCTGGGGAAGGACCAGACTGAAAAAATAAACTGTAATTCTTCTTGTAGCTACTGTACTTTCTATATTAGCTTTCAAAAGAAGAGCAATGTCTGAAAAACATTAGGGTACCATCTGGAAGCACATTAGGGTTTTGCAACTTGCCAACCATATTATTTTTACCACCACAATCTTCTTAATTGACTATTTTCACATTTAATTAAACCATGTTTTATTGAATTAACCTAAGCTCTTCTCATGACATGCTGAACTATAAAATAATGCTATGGGTTGGATTTGCACAATAAGCTAGAGCTAGGCTAATTACAACTGGATCACTGTGCCTTGATGTACTCTGTAAACTGAGTGGTGATGACAGCACCAAAGCTCGCAACTCCTGAAATTGATACACTAATCCTGTGACAACCAGCATTAATAAACAGAGACCTATGCATCAGGGGTGACATGCTTCCGGTTCGGACTGGATCGCCCGATCTGGTAGTGATGGCGCCGGGTGGTTCGGAGAACCGGTAGCAAAAATCCCTGCCCCCCCTACATGCCCAGCTGAGCCGCGCGATCATCAGAGGCTGTTTTTTTAAAAGTATTTTTTCTACAACCTCTTTGGCCGAAAAAATGCTTTTAAAAGTTTAAAAAAAAAAACTCTGATGATCGCGTGGCTCAGCTGGGATCGTCAGAGCCTTTTAAAAGTATTTTTTCTACAACCTCTTCGGCTTTTAAAGGTTTTTTTTTTAAAAAAAGTTGGCCACCCCCACCCAGTCACATTACCCCCACCAAGCCACGCCCACAGAACTGGGAGTAACAAATTTTACATTTCACCACTGCTTCAGTCCTATGCAATGTTCATTATCAGTGAAAGATAAAGAAGCTGTTGGAAATGTTCTGTCCTGGTTTTTCCACTCTGCTCAATTCCACGGTGTAACTGAGCCTGATGTCAAAAGGGGAGCCTCTGTCTCGCCTTCACTGCTGCTATGCCTTACCTACAAATCCTGGCTTAAGCAATGGGTAAATCAGGGAATTGCTCTGGACCAGTCCTTGATGAGGACTTCAATTGTCACATAATTTCAATAAATAAAAATGGAAACCTAGAATGAACCATATACTAGTCACCTAAGCTTCACAGGCAGAATAACAGAGTTGGAGGTCTTCTAGTCCAACCTTTTGTTCAAGCAGGAAATGCTATACCATTTCAAACAAATAGCTGTCCAGTCTCTTCTTGAACACCTCCAGTATTGGAGCATCCACAATTTCTGATTAACCCCACTGATTAATTGTTCTGTCAAGAAATTTCTCCTTATTTCTAAGCTGGTTCTCTCCTTGATTAGTTTCCATCCATTGCTTCTTATCCTGCCTCCAGGTGCTTTGGAGAATAGATTGACCCCCTCTTCCTTGAAATATTGGAA